TAAAATAAAATACAGAAAACTTACCTCCCTACTAACAAACACAGGAGAAAATGAAAATAACAAATAAGGCACCAAACCTCCCTGCATGCTCCAAGCCCGACAGGGAGACAGAAAGCCGGACTTCAATTGCCGGTTAAAAATTATCACAACGGCATCTCACAAAGCCACAAAAATATACAAGCAAACACTCAATTTATCACTTTCTCCACTGAATACAAGCGGGGAAATCGAGAGAGAGCGGGGAGCCATCGAACCCATGTTCTCTGCAGGAAGAGAACCGCCACCAATCCAATCGCCAATCATGATCCGTCCCAACGTAATCCGCTGCACCTGCGAATACTCAGAGCCCGAGAGAAAGAGAGAGAGAAACATCACACACACACAAGCCTACACTACACTACTCGTAACAGTATAGCTCAACTATACATTTTTATGACCAACTAAAATATAACGCCTGACAAATAAATATTGCACAAATAAAGGAGTCACAAAACATAAACTAAATACTAATCAAATAATAAAAATGCGCAATTGATAAATAAAATGAGGGCAGCCATATTGCGCCAGACCACACACCAGCTGATTGCTGGAGAAGAGACAGAGTGATGAAGCCAATCATGATATGGGGATAGTTAGGAGGCCATGATTGACAGAGGCCAGTGGGCAAATTTGGGATTTTAATGACCACAGAGAGTCAGGACCTCGGTTTAACGTCTATTCCGAGCACTGAGCAATATCGAGTCCCCATAAGTATACTGGGGCGTTGGGACCCACACAGATCACAGGTTGGGCGCCCCCTGCTGGACTCACTAACACCACCTTGGACAGCAACCTAGCGTTCCCATGTGGTCTCCCATCCAGGTACTGACTCTGCACAGCCCTGCTTAGCTTCAGTGGGCAACCATGTGAGAGTTAGCTGCCAGCTTAAGCGTTCAAATAGTTTCTTCTTTTGCTGTTATGTATTTAAATTAGGGAGAAAATTATTTACCCGCAGTCCTCTGGGAGATATTTACTGCAGCTGGTGTTCTTTAGTCATGTTTTCCCCTAGAACAGGGGTGTCCAAACTTGGTCCTGGAGGGCCGGTATCCTGCATAGCTTAGCTTTGGACGCTTCTAGTGAACCTGGAAAGAGCCTAATTAGCTGGTTCAGGTGTGTTTAATTGGGGTTGGAACTAAAGTAAGCAGGACACTGGCCCTCCAGAACTGACTATGGACACTCCTGCTCTAGAATTTTACCATACATATCAAGCAGTGACGTTGCGCCTCTGTTGCTCTCGGTGCACCTTTTTTTAAAGGGTGCTCAATCTTGCTATTGCTTTTCTCTGTGCTGTTTTCAGGATCTGTCGTCTTGTTCAGTTGTGTCAATAGCATTTCTGTGGCTCGCTCTTTGGTGGCTTGATCAAATAAGCGATCTTTGTGCCATAGGTCCAGAATCGCTGCTTAGAAGCACAATGGCTCAGTGTTTATACCTACAGCAGAGTAGCTTTTATTGTCTTGACAGCGCTATCTGTACTGAGACTTTTACTCAGAAGGCACTTTAAAACCTCAACAGAAGGAATCATGTCTAAAGCAGTTGTCTTGCGTTGCGTTTATTTCTCCCGTCAGCTCTTCGAATGGCGCAAGCAATGCTCGAATTCTACCCTATATGTAAACTGTTCCAACGTGTCGGAGTGTCTTTTTGCAGCCCCTTTTATTTGACAGTCCTAGCTCTGCCAGTATCTCTCCAATTGGGGAAATGGTACGGTGAAAATGTTTGAAGTGCCCCGACTATCTTTCTCCCTATAGCTATACAGTCAGAAATGCTCTGGTGGCTCAGAACCCCTTATTGGGGCCATTATCTCGCATGACAACATGTACATTTTCCAGTGAACGAGCATACTCTCGAGTTTCCTTGCTATAGCAGTGCCTGTGTAAGACCTGCGGCAGTTGCGCATGCAGTATACCTCTCGTCATCTCAAAGTTTGACCTATTCCACTGAGCAGTAAGGCTCAACATACACACTGGACACCTGAGCTCCATATGTCAGTAGTATTAATGTGAGCTGCCATTTCATTTTACAAAACCGGGAGCAAAACATCAAGGAAGTGAGGAATCGAGTTGAGGGAACAGCCAATTCTGCAACATTTCCAGATTACAGTTGCACCTTCCAAGAAATAAAGGACCTAAAACTTTATTGGCTGAAATGGCGCAGAAAACGTTCATCTTAGGTGAATCGCGTTCATGCTGAATTGTTTCTTGCGATTTCTCAGTGCCCTATATATGGACATTGTTCCAATTGACTTTCCAGTTTGTTTGAAATGTAGCTTCATTGCTAAACACTAGCTTCGAAATGAACAAGTCATCTGTTACGTTTGCTCAAGGACAAACTTGCAGAACTCTATTCTTTTCACCTTATCATCCCAGAAAGGGCTTGAACCAATTTCAGACGATAAAGTTTCTTTACTAACCTTTTGACTCTCCAGATGGTTGGTTGTGGAATTTGCAGCTCTCTGTTAGCTCGGCGGGTCGATTTTCTCGGACATGCATGCTGAATGTGGTCAACATTTTCCCTCCGGAACTTTTCCCTTTGCCCAAACACTCTTTCTCTGTGAATTGTTAATAACAATGTTTGATACGTTATCTTTTAGGAGGTTGAACACCATGCTTTGTTTCGAAATGCACGCTTGACAACTGTCATCGATACTTCTGCAGTACTCGATAACACAAAAAGCTTCTGTTGAGCAGTTGCCGTCTTTGCATTAACAACAGAAATGAAGGTTATATGGGCCAACAGCGCTTTTAATCACCAAGTGAGCAACCAATAAAACTTCAGAGCTTACTTAAATTGACGACAAAAGAGCTTAGCTCTCCTTTTATTCTTTGCAGATTTCTCAATTTTTAAAGTGGTATTCTTTTTGAAACATCCTGTATATTTCGGGATTGGTGAAACTTCAGATGGCTTAAAAGATGTGTGGCATTGAAGCTTTTTGTTCTTCTGCCTCCTCGCATTACCTTACATTGCAATTCAGGTGTCCTCTTTTTTTCACGATGAAAAACTCCCACACTGCTGACATCTTCTTTGTAGTGTAGTGTAAAGCCCAAGCTTGATTTGTGCTACGTCACGAAGGTGATGCTCAACCTAGAGGCATGCAGGAAGCTTGTTAAGCCAATGTAAATAATATGGATTTTATCTACGTAAAGATATCAACATAACTTTATCAGACTGACAACAATTACATAACATCATTTGTCGGATGATAACGATATGGCCGCCGATATATCATCATCCCCACTTCTGTTAAAGTCATTCTGTTGTTGGTTTAATTCAGTGTCTTGGGTTGTTGTCCTGTTGCATCACCCCTCTGTTGAGCTTCAGTTGGTGGACAGATGGTCTTAGGTTTTCCTCTAAAATGTCTTGATTAAACTTTGAAATTAATTTTTCCGTCAATTAAAGCAATCCGTCTAGGTCAGTGGTCTCAAACTCAATTCCTGGAGGGCCACGTCTCTGCACAGTTAAGCTTCAACCACCTCCAAGCAAAACTCAATTGACCTATGGTCTAGGCCAGGGGTGTTCAAACTTGGTCCTGGAGGGCCGGTGTCCTGCAGAGTTTAGTTCCAACCCCAATTAGACACACCTGGGCTAGCTAATCAAGCTCTGACTAAGCTTTCTAGAAACATCCATGCAGGTTGAGGCAAGTTGGAGCTTAAATCTGCAGGACACCAGCCCTCAAGGACTGAGTTTGGACACCCCCGGTCTATGCCCTGAGGCAGCAAAGCAGCTGGGAGGAGGTTTTGATGTTGGTGTGCTCTACCTTTTTTATCTACACTTATCATTGTGAGATGCAAATAGACATTCTGCGGCGCGATACGCGCAAATGACAAGTCTAACACGTGAAACGCTCGAGTTGGAAAATCTGAACTTCAGCAGACATTCGCGCCGCATTAACCAGTCAGGAACTTTTTCTTGTAGAGGCGTGATTATGAAGTACCGCCTGTTGTTGGTTTCCCGAGGGGAAATCCTCTTGCCGACACTGGACAATACCTCATCAAACTGGGCTTGGCTCCGCTGAAAGCCTCCATCATTCAGGTATAGTTTCTGGAGGAAACTTAATGAACTCACAGAGCTGGGTTCACCTCTGAAAGGATGTTGTTGACATGTTGCCGAATAAATCTACACTGTTTTTCAGTCTTCCTAAAGCACATAAACACAGCTATTCTCTCAATAAAATCCATGTTAGCCAATTAGCAATGAAACTAGAGTCACCGGGCAGTCAGAAGCCCTGTCTAGATTCTAGAGCCTCGCAGGTCTTTTGAGAACTCTTTTGTGCAAGGGATGGCTCACATCAGGCAATGCTTCTTGAGAAAAGCAAAGTCAAAACTGGTGTAAAGGCAGCTTTGACTAACACATCCAATCCCATCACATTGGTTCGACTCCAGGTTGGCTGACTCCTGGCTCTAATTAGCTCTTAGAAGGTAATTATCCTAGGGGTTCACCCATTACAACCTAGGTCACACTAGAGTTTGAGCTTGCGAAATTCTGCTGTATGGTGCTGCGAGAAGGGGTGGGATTAAACAAGGTGATTAGACATAAAAGCAAGCGATTGGTCCGTATTTAAAATCCATGCTTTAATCTTCGATTGGTCTCACGCAGTCATGTGATGCAATTTCGCAGGTTAGAGTTCACCAAGCTTGAACTTTCCAATGCAGCAAGCTCCGAAACTTGTCGGGCAAACTTGCGTTTCCAGTCTGACGCAGTCATGTGCGTATGAATGGATGTCTATGGGGAGAAAAATGCAGTGTGACCGCAGCTTAAGATCTATTGGTTTTGAATTCAAAGCTTTTATCGACAAGTGGCCACCCTGTATTAAGACACTCTTGAGTTTACATGTAACTTCTCTTTCAGCATTTAAGATCTTATCTTAGATGTTGATGGGTTTTGATACTTAAATGCCTCCATGTTGTCTTTTACATGTTGCTTTGTGCCTGCAAATTTGGGTTAACTTGTTTTATATGTCTTTTTAGAGCTGATGTTGCGGAAAGAAGAGACTCCAGGACTGAATGAAACGGAGGAGAATATTCAGAATGAGGAACACCGAGATTTAATGGCCGCTGAACAATCCACTGTGGCAAAAAAGAAATCCAAATCCAATGGTAACTTTCCCTGCAGTGAGTGCGGAAAAAGTTTCACTCAAAAACACAACCTCGTAATCCACATGAGCATTCACACCGGGGAGAAGCCGTATGCCTGCCAACAGTGTGGAAAGAGGTTCAGACTGTTACACATCCTTCAACTTCACTTCAAACTTCACACTGGAGAGAGGCCTTATGCCTGCACTCAGTGTGGAATGAGGTTCATTAAAAAACAAAGACTTGACACGCACATGGCGGTCCACAGTACAGAGAAGCCGTTCGTTTGCCAGCAATGTGGAAAATGCTTTGCTCAAAAACATAACCTTAAACAACACATGAAAATTCACACCGGAGAGAAACCTTTCGCCTGCCAACTGTGCGGAAAGAGTTTCAGTCAAAAGCAGCGCCTTGCAGTCCACACGATGATTCACACTGGGGAGAGACCTTACACTTGCGCTCAATGCGGGAAGAGTTTCACACAGAGAAACAACCTCAATTACCACATGAAATTTCACACCGGGGATAAGCCTTACATTTGCACGGAGTGCGGCAAAAGCTTTACATATAAATACTACCTCAATGCTCACATGAGGACTCACACCAGAGAGAGGCCGTTTATATGTGGTCAGTGTGGAAAGAGTTACTGTCACAGAGGCAACCTCAGCCAACACTTGAAGCTCCACGTAGAAGAAACCAAAAACGTAACATGATGATTTAGTCACGATGTTAAATAGTCACCGCTATATTACTAGATACACATTCTTTATTACACAACCTTCTTTATAAGGTCGAGAAACAATAATCTTGATTTTCTGATGTTTAAACTGAGGGATGATGGTGTGAATTGTCTGATGGATGTCCACTCCCAAGTAATCTTTTCTTATGTCATGGGTTCTCAAACTCAATCCTGGGGGTTCAGCGTCCTGCAAATTTTAGCTCCAACTTGCCTCAACATACCTGCCAAGGGTGTTTCTAGAAAGCCTATTCCAGGGGTGTCCAAACTCGGTCTTGGAGGGTCGGTGTCCTGGAGAGTTTATCTTCAACTTGCCTCAACACACCTGTCAGGAAGTTTCTAGCATATCTAGTAAGAGCTTGATTAGCTGGTTCAGGTGTGTTTGGGTAGGGTTGGAGCTGAACTCTCTAGGACACCGGCCCTCCAGGACCAAGTCTGGACACCCCTGTACCTAGGCTTTCTAGAAACTTCCCTGCAGGTGTGTTGAGGCAAGTTAGAGCTAAATCTGCAGGACACAAACCCTCCAGGACTGAGTTCGGGCACCCTTGGCCTACCAAGAGCTTGATTAGCTAGCCCAGGTGTGTCTAATTAGGGTTGGAGCTAAAATCTGCAGGATACTAGACCTCCAGGACTGAGATTGGGAACCGTTGGCCTAGATTATATGATGACCTTAGTGCAGGGGTGTCCAAACTTGATCCTGGAGTGTGGTGTCCTGCATGGTTTAGCTCCAACTTGCCTTAACATACCTGCCAAGGGTGTTTCTAGAAAGCCTATTCCAGGGGTGTCCAAACTCGGTCTTGGAGGGTCGGTGTCCTGCTGAGTTTAGCTTCAACTTGCCTCAACACACCTGTCAGGAAGTTTCTAGCATATCTAGTAAGAGCTTGATTAGCTGGTTCAGGTGTGTTTGATTAGGGTTGGAGCTAAACTCTCCAGGACACCGGCCCTCCAGGACCAAGTTTGGACACTCCTGTACCTAGGCTTTCAAGAAACTTCCCTGCAGGTGTGTTGAGGCAAGTTGGAGCTAAAAACTGCAGGACACCAACCCTCCAGAACCAAGTCTGGACACCCCTGTACTAGGCGTTCTAAAAACTTCCCTGCAGGTGTGTTGAGGCAATTTGGAGCTAAAAGCTGCAGGACACCAACCCTCCAGGACCAAGTTTGGACACCCCTGTACTAGGCGTTCTAAAAACTTCCCTGCGGGTGTGTTGAGGCAAGTTAGAGCTAAAATCTGCAGGACACCAACCCTCCAGGACCAAGTCTGGACACCCCTGTACTAGGCTTTCTAGAAACATCCCTGCTGGTGTGTTGAGGCAATTTGGAGCTAAAATCTGCAGGACACAAACCCTCCAGGACTGAGTTCGGGCACCCTTGGCCTACCAAGAGCTTGATTAGCTAGCCCAGGTGTGTCTAATTAGGGTTGGAGCTAAAATTTGCAGGATACTACACCTCCAGGTCTGAGTTTGAGAACCGTTGGCCTAGATCACAGGTGTCAAACTCTTTATTTTAAACACACCTGATCAAACTAATTGAGCCCTTCAGGCTTGTTTGAAACCTACAGGTAAGTGTGTTGGAGCAGGGTTGGAACTAAACTGTGCAGGGCTTCGGCCCTCCAGGAATTGAGTTTGACACCCCTGGCCTAGATTATATGATGACCTTAGTGCAGGGGTGTTCAGACTTGATCCTGGAGTGCAGTGTCCTGCATAGTCTAGCTCCAACTACCTTCAACACACTTGCTTGTGAGTTTCTAGTATACCTAGAAAGAGCTTGATTAGCTAGTTCAGTTGTGTTTAATTAGTGTTAGGAGTAGGACTAAGATATGCAAAACACCGGCCCTTGAGGACCGAGTTTGGACACCCCCCTGCCTTAGTGTCATCCCTCTTTAGGGTAAAACTTTGATGATATGTGTGTCATTGATTTTTCTGTATGCCAAGTTATTTGTTTCCTCAGGAACTTCAAGAGGTCAAGGAGACCTTGACGTATATGAAATGACATTATATAAGAGTATAATTGTTGATGATTTGAGATTGTATGCAGAGCAGCCTATGAACTCTTTTCGAGTGTTGACGCTGGCTTCTGCCGATGAAACTGTAAAGTATTTTCAGTAAACTTTCTTTTAATTGAGTCCCTGACTCCGGCTCTTCAGCTCGTGTTAAAACTATCGGTTTCCCAACAAGGATCTGTTCATTTGAAATGTATTAGAAAACATCCACATTATTTTTATTGTTTCACAAATGTTGCCCACTAAACATCACATTTGTTCATACCCGGGGGAAAAAAAAACAACCCATTAAAATGATTGTGGGAAGATCTCATTAGGCACATGACAAGGTAATCTGCATGCCTAGTGCTTTATTTAATACATAAACAGTTTCCTGTTCTTAGCTGACAGAAGCGGCACCCGATGTGGTCTTCTGCTGCTGTAGCTCGTCCGCTTACAAGGTTGGACGTGTTGTGTGTTCAGAGATGCTCTTCTCCAGACCTCAGTTGTAACGAGTGCTTTTTTGAGTTACTGTTTCCTTTCTATCAGCTGGAACCAGTCTGGCCATTCTCCTCTGACCTCTGGCAGACTTTAATTACTCAGAGTTCAGGCAGTCTGACTTTTGCGCCCACAGATCTGCCGCTCGCTGGATATTTCCTCTTTTTTTGGACCATTCTCTGTAAACCCTAGAGATGGTTGTGTGTGAAAATCCCAGCAGATCAACAGTTTCTGAAACACTCAGCCCAACCTGTTTGGCACTAACAAGCATGCCACGTTCAAAGTCCCTTAAATCCCCATTCTTCCCCATTCTGATGCTCGGTTTAAACAGCAGCAGATCGTCCTGACCATATCTACATGCCTGAATGCATTGAGTTGCTGCCATGTGATTGGCTGGGAAGGTGTGCCTAATAAAGTGGCCGGTGAGTAAATAACCCAACGTAAAATAATTGTTTGATAATTCCTTATATGAAAGAGCATAACCACTGAAATCAGTAAAGTCAAAGACAGTATTTGTTTGAACTTTTCAGTGTTTCTGTTTCCTCTTTTAGAGGATGATTGTGTGGAGTAAACTAAAACATTTAAACAAAAAAGTTAATTAACTTAGGAAGTCATTAATATAAATGTATAAATAATGTTTTAATAATGTTAAAATAATGTAGAAGTTTTTGTTATGCACTAAAGTATTTAACCATTTTTAATATTGTTTTACATTTGCATTTCATACATTTATGGTCACTTCTCTTAATATAATACACTTTTACTTTACACGTTTATTTTCACATAAAACCTGAAAACTTGAAATTGGTATCTTTGAGAATCTGTGGTTCATCCCTTTAAAAAAAATCTGCTGTCTAAATAACTTTAGTCATTCAGTGTATGTGTGTGCGAGTTTTATTACAGTATTCAAGGCTTTTATTTTGGCGTAGCTGTGTGACGTCATGGGTCTGCGCGCCGCGGTTCATCAAAGGGGTTTGTACTTTAAAGGCTTAAATATCGGAGCAAACGATCATTCGGCGTTGTTGTTTTATAAGCGATGCCAAATTAAATAATCGTCAGGAAGTCTCGCGTGTAATCTGTTATCTGACAAAGACTTTAATCATAACTAATTAGCTCAAGCGTACAGGTGAGCAGCAGAACAGGCGCGTCTCATTTCTGTATCGTGACTCTGTTTAGTAAACATGAACTCAGTCACTGGCGAGTGGAGATGAGGGAAAAGGGAGATTTACAAAACTCCGAGTCAATTAAATCGTTTAAAATGATTAATTCTGTCAAAGCTGCTGATTAGAATAGTGTTAAACAAAAACAACAGAAATGTTGAGAGACTTTTACTGACCAACTGCGAGTGTCTTCCTGGAGAACTAACACAGAACATTATAGATCACATAGTGAAAGTCTATAACTGATAGTGCGCATATGTGTTATTAAAAAATTCGAGAGCTACTAGTTTATTTTAATCTACTCATGTGATTTTGTCTGACTCCCTCAGCAGTACACTTAATAGTGAACTAGAGAGCTGATTGAGACAGATTGAGTGTGTGTTTCTTTTATTTCTGTTCGTTGTTTTCATTTTAAAGTGTCCAAACACAGAGGAAAACTCCTGCTGAAGCGACTGATCTCCACACTGTTATAAAGATGGCGTTTATTAAAGAGGAGAGTGAAGACCTGAAGATTGAAGACACATTCACAGTCAAACAGGAAGTTCCCGAACAAACTGGTAAGGTCAATTTTTGATTGAATGTCTGCTTTTACAGCAGGTCACACGGTAAATCCTGAATGCATTTAGGTCTTTGGTGAATTTGTCTGCTTCATCACTCACGTTTATTAAGAGCTTTTATTTTATATCTAAAGGGAAATCTCAAAGTGCTCTGGAAAATTCTTTTCATTGTTGTGCTACTTGAAAATATTCATATCTCCATCAAATGTTTGACCCCGAGAAGCATTGATCTTAATGTGTTTTGTAAAGGAAACACTGAGAGAAACTGGAGTTAAAGTGACAGTTCACCAAAAAAGGACAATTCTGTCAACATGTCAGTTTTAAACCTGAAAAAAATTGTTTGCTGAACACAAAAGATATTTTGAATAATGCTGAAAACCTGTAACCCTTGAAGTAAATAGAAAGTACAGTTGAAGTCAGAATTATTAGCCCCCCTTTAATTTTTTTTCTTTTTAAAATATTTTCCGAATGATGTTCATCAGAGCAAGGAAATTTTCACTGTATGTCTGATAATATTTTTTCTTCTGGAGAAAGTCTTATTTGTTTTATTTCGGCTTGGATAAAAGCAGCTATTTATTTTTTAAACACCATTTTAAGGTCAGTATTATTAGTCCCTTTAGGCTCTTTTTTTTCAATAGTCTACAGAACAAACCATCATCATACAATAACTTGCCTAATTAACCTAACCTGCCTAGTTACCCTAATTAACCTAGTTAAGGCTTTAAATGTCACTTTAAGCTGTATAGTTGTGTCTTGAAGAATATCTAGTCTAATAATATTATTTACTGTCATCATGGCGAAGATAAAATAAATCAGTTATTAGAGATTAAAACGATTATGTTTAGAAATGTTAAAAAAAATCCGTTAAAAAGAAATTGGGGAAGAAAATAAACAGGAGGGCTAATAATTCTGACTTCAACTGTAAATAACCATCCCCAATATTCGATAGGCAGAAAATTATAAAGTTTTTATAAGTTGTTAAAATTTTGGTGTCTGCGCATCAAAATCTGCTTCGTGCGTCAAAATACGATTTATTCGCGCGTCAAATTCACTTAATTT